TACACGAATCTAACGGTTAGATCTCTAAGAATCAAGCTCGAAGATTCACTCCTCCACTCTAAAACTCCTTCTTCCTTCTAGAGCTTCTCTCTCTCAAGACAAAGATATGATACAAAATGATAGGTTCTACTCACTGCCGGCTGATTTAACACTCAGCTCGGACACGTGGCAACGACTGGTTGGTTCTCCCCGAAAAGGTGGCTGACAGACCAGACAAAGTATGGCAAAAGGGTGTTTAACAAGTAAAGCGGCATGGCATTCTGACAAGGTACTGACATCAGGTGAAAACATAGGCTCCGGTAGGTGAGGTATCTATGATCCCGGCTAAGACGGACAACACTTGGCCTAGCTGTGCCACACCTCGGTCTAGGTCACACCAATCTGGAACAAGATCACTTGGGTTCAAGGATAACATCTCGACCTAGATGATACACCTCTCGGCCTTGATGATACATCTCGGCCTAGAAAATGACATCTCGGCCAATATGCCAGGATGAAGGTAAAGGTCAACCAAAGTGGTTTCAAGATGGTTCTGGCTTTAAGGTGACCTCGGCTAGACTCACCAGAAAAGAACAAGACTCAACAAGTAAATTTCACATAAGTACAAACCAAGACAAAAATCTCATTCTAGTTAAGACAAGTCAAGAAAATTCACTACTACAACTTAGCAAAACAAGATTATGCAAATGCTCATGCCCGAGGGTAAGGTGGGGAATGAAGGTCACTACATAAGTCTAAGTTACTCGTCATGTTCACCATGGGAACATCGCCATAAGACATTTTGCTCTTATCTCACAATCATGGATTCCAACAACATTTTCATACTTTTTTACATAGGCTTCGGCATCCTTTTGCATGTGGGTCACTAGAATCCTTATGATATAGCTCTATGGGTAAGGGATCTACTCCCTTTATCGATCTAATGTAAAAAGTCTTCAACCTGGGAAGGATGTACACATTGTAATAGAGGTCCAGTAAAAGTCCTTCTGCACAGATGGCCTTCTATCGACAGGCGGAACCTGGCCGACTTCAGTCTAATCTTGTGTGCTTCTTTTTTGTCTTCTAGGATCTGGGATCTAGGATCTGCTCATTTAGGCTGAGCTTTTGTCTTCTCGGACTTACTCATCTAGGCAGAGATCTTGTCTTCTAGGATTTGGAATCTGAGATTTGCTCACTTAGGCTGAGCTTTTGTCTTCTCGGATCTAATCATCTAGGCCGAGATCTTGTCTTTTAGGATCTGGGATCCAGGATCTGCTCACTTAGGCTGAGCTCTTGTCTTCTAGGACCTACTCATCTAGGCCGAGATCTTGTTTTCTGGGATCTGGGATCTGGCATCCGGGATCTGGAATCCGGGATCTGCTCACTTAGGCTGAGCTCTTGTCTTCTCAGACCTAATCATCTAGGTCGAGATCTTGTCTTCTACGATCTGGGATCCGGGATCCGAGATTCGGGATCTGGAATCCAGGATCTACTCACTTAAGTTGAGCTCTTGTCTTCTCAAACCTAATCATCTAGGCAGAGATCTTGTCTTCTGAGATTTGGGATCCGAGATCTGGAATCCGGGAATTGCTCACTTAGGCTGAGCTTTTGTTTTCTCTGACCTAATCATATAGGCCCAGATCTTGTCTTCTAGGATTTGGGATTCGAGATTTGGAATCTGGAATCTGCTCACTTAGGTTGAGCTCTTGTCTTCTCGGACCTACTCATCTAGATCGAGATCTTGTCTTTTGAGATTTGGGATTCGGGATTCGGGATCTGGAATCCGGGATTTGCTCACTTAGGCTGAGCTCTTGTCTTCTCAGACTTAACCATCTAAGCCGAGATCTTGTCTTCTAGGATCTGAGATCCGGGATCTGAAATCCAGGATCTGCTCACTTAGGCTGAGCTCTTGTCTTCTTAGACTTACTTATCTAGGCCGAGATCTTGTTTTTTAGGATCTGGGATCTGGGATCCGAGACGTGGAATCCGGGATCTGCTCACTTAGGCTAAGCTCTTATCTTCTCGGACCTAATCATCTAGGTCAAGATCTTGTCTTCTAGGATCTGAGATCCGGGATTCGAGATTTGGAATCCGGGATCTGCTCACTTAGGTTAAACTCTTGTCTTCTTGGACCTACTCATCTAGACCGAGATCTTGTCTTTTGAGATTTGGGATCTGGGATTCGGGATCTGGAATCCGGAATCTACTCACTTAGGCTGAGCTCTTGTCTTCTCAGACCTAACCATCTAAGCCGAGATCTTGTCTTCTAGGATCTGAGATCCGGGATCTGGAATCCGGGTAAGGCGGTTCAAAAATCCGTTCAAACCGGTAATCCGAATCGAACCAGACCGAATCGTACGGTTTGGTTCAATTCTATTTAGAATTGGTTCGGTTTCGGATTAAGAAATATGAGAACCGTAAAAACGGTTCGGTTAATGGATTTTACGAAAAAATCGCAGTTTGAACCGAACCGAACTGAATTTAAAAGATATATATATATATAATATCAAGTTTTATTTTTATTAATTGGTTTTTTATAATTTTAATGATATTAGGATGGTATAGATATGTAATATTAAGTAATGTCTTAATATTATTAGTTTTTATCATGAGTTAAATGTAATTAGTTTGAGTAATTATTTTGCTAATATTAACAATTTATTCTTGTAAATAGAAATTTTTGGAACCGTAAACCAAACCGAAACCGAACCGTTTTTTCGGTTTGGTTCTGGTCTGATTTTACAAGTGTAACGGTCTGGTCTGGTTCTCAAAATCACAGAACCGTTAGGATTGGTTCGGTTCTTGGTTTTTCTCAGAACCGAACCAATCCGGACCGTGTACACCCCTAAATCCGGGATCTGCTCACTTAGGCTGAGCTCTTGTCTTCTTAGACCTACTCATCTAGGCCGAGATCTTGTCTTTTAGGATCTGGGATCTGCGATTCGGGACGTGGAATCCGGGATCTGCTCACTTAGGCTAAGCTCTTGTCTTCTTGGACCTAATCATCTAGGTCGAGATCCTAGGATCTGAGATCTGGGATTCGAGATCTAGAATTCGGGATCTGCTCACTTAGGCTGAGCTCTTGTCTTCTCAGACTTACTCATCTAGGCCGAGATCTTGTCTACTAGGAATTGGGATTCGAGATCTGGAATCCGGGATCTACTCACTTAGGCTGATCCTTCTATACTTGAAAGTCATCTCCTTGGGAGCGCTCATGCGCCCTATCTTTGCATCCCTTCTAAAAAGGTCTTCATTCCGTTAATGTCGACACATTCTCCATCTTCGCTAAACTAGTTGTTGCTGACATGTTGATCTTGCACGATGATGGCCTTCTATTCTAACTAAGTTCCCACAGATTGCGCCAAATTGTGGGTGTTGATTTTCGACCACACAACTAAACGGAGAACTTAGCTGGAGAGCACCGGCAGAATAGATTAAGCCCAAACACCTGCCAACAAGAATATGAGAATACCGCAGTGGTTTGTCCACCCAAGGACATTCCGACGATCAAATCAGTAATCTTATCTCTTACAATTATCAATACAGTGCTGAAACTTCAACAATGAAAGCATAAAAGCATCTCAAATAAAGTATCCCTTAGACCCACGAAGGTACTTACTTTTATAATGATTAGTGTCCAACTTTCCCTAGAAGTTTTATTTCATGGGACTCTATCCTTTACAAGGATAACATTTATCACAACTCATACTATTCAGATTAAGATGAACTCACTCAAGAGTCCCATCTCTATCCAAATAGGTAGCTTGATGTCATCTAGGACTCTAGTCCTCTATTCAAATATCTCGAATTTTGATATTATCGCACTATATTTCGGCACCATGATCCGCCCACGTGGCACCTCGGCTAACAACCTCGGCCACATAGACTACCTAAAAATATGTTCCCACAGGATTACTTCTTGCTTACTCATGCGGCAAACCAGTTCAATGTAGAGCGGATGTATGATCTTGAACACCATGATGCACAATGACTTATTTTCGAGATCAAATACGTCAACAAAATAAACTAAAATAAAAAATCATAGCATATTACCTTTCAATCCACACTTACAACTTCAATATTGAAGTGGCCAGAAATCGAACTTAAGTTTCTCCTGCATTCTTCAATATCTGATACTTTGTTAAAGTTTAAACAATATTCATGTAACAAAAAAGTATTGACAAACTTCACAAAAGCCAATTCAAGCTCAGAAAAAATTTATACCCGTTCTTTTGAGCTGCTTGCCACATTCTGCAATTCTTTAAAGGACTTCCGTATATGTCCTAATATGTAAACTTATTATTTAATAGGTCTTACGAGAATTAATAACGTTTTTTATCAAATACTATTAAAAAAAGGCTACTAATTGTTAATTTTCAGCGTTAATTTAAAAATTTTGTCACAAAAAATGTCACTAATTATAAATTTTAACGACAATTTAAAAAAAAAAATCATTACAAAAAAAGTCATTAATTTTCAATTTTCAGAGACAGTTTGAAAAATTCGTCAAAAAAAAATGTTATTAATTATAGTTTTAGCGATAATTTATAAAAATCGTGACAAAAAAAATCACTAATTGCCAATTTTAACAACATGCAAAAAAATCATTATAAAAAATTATTTTTAATAATAATTTTATTAAAATTTATTTTTAATAAGATTTAATAAAAATTAAATCTAACTATAAAAATCTACGACGATTTACCTTAAATAAAACCCCATATATGTTGGGAGAGAGCTAGAAGCATGCATGCATGTCCTAGTTGATGTGATATATTCATATTATAGCCGTTAAAAAAAAAAAAACTTTAAATGAAGCCCTGTTTGGAGTTTATCTTATTTGTTTAGGGAAGACAAAATGTAAGTGCAGATACTTTCTTTAAAGGGAGTTTTAACTTTAGATGAAGCCTTATTCACCCAAAAAAAAAAAAAAAAAAAAAAAAAAAAAAAAAAAAAAAAAAACTTTAAATGAAGCCCTGTTTGGAGTTTATCTTATTTGTTTAGGGAAGACAAAATGTAAGTAAAAAATAAATTTTCTTTCTCCTTTTATTTTTTTATTTAAAAAATCCATAAATCCATTGACAAATCCAAGATCTCTACACGGGCTAAGAATTTTCCTGAAGAACTTGAAATTACATCCAAAAACCTTATCCCCAAACAAAGAAAGCTCTGTTTGAAGTCTTTCCCATCTTCCTCTGCACACAATCCAGCAACTTATGGCTTTAATCATGTATTTCTTTGAATGAATGAGAAACTCCAAACTTATTGAGGGTGCTTACACATTTCCTGCATCTATGTTCAGCCCAGAACTATTCATCACATTCACAATAGAAGAATACAGATCTTTTTTTGGGGTAAGCAATTGAATACTGATCTCTTCACTGAAAAACAGGGCTCTTGTACAGAGATTGCCCGATTGAAGAACTACCAATCATTCTGTTCGTAGTTGAACTTGCATGATCTTGCGTTTGAACAATACCCAAATCGGATTGTTCGACAATTTCTTTCTGATTTACAGCATTTCCTTCTGATTCATCGATACACAAGTGGTTAGTTGCAGATGAAGAAGAATCCATTGAAACAGAGCTTTTCATTGGTTGTATAGCATCCTCCATAACCATATTCTTATCTTCCAAACAACTAACAACAGAGAAAAGACCAATCCCATTAATAGAATTCACAGATTCCTTTGAATCATCCAATTCCTTTCTTTGATCATCACCATGTGTTAATTCAACTCCATCCTCTGTTTCAGCCCTGTTTTCACATTCCTCACCTTCACCAACCCAACTGTCACCCAATTCACAACCACCCGCTAAATTCTCCATCTGGGTTTCATCCTGACGATTCAAAGTAAAAGAATTCTGAGTATTGGAATCGGAACGAGTACTTACAGAGCTCGCAACAATACCAGCACGACAGAGCGGGCAATTGGTGTGTGACCTCAACCAAGTATCAATACAAGGAATGTGAAACGCATGATTACACTTGGGCAGTAATCGGAGAGTCTCGTCTTCCTGAAACTCGCTCAAACACACCAAACACTCTCTCCCTTCGATCAACGGATCGCCTTTCTTGAACTTGAAGACTGTGATTGAATTGATGACAGAGGGTTGGAGACCAACGGTGTTGATGAACCAGATGGGATGGTCAATTTGTCGAAACTCTTCGTCTCGGCCGTCTGATTGGTCCCGTGGGGGTGGCCTGAAATGGGTCCGACCGGAACAGTACTTGAGAATGAGCATGTAGTAGCTGATGAGAAGAAAGAAGCAGGAGAGGATTGAGACTGTGATGATGACGTCTGCGGAAACTTGTTGGCTTTGGCCGGTGGAGAGAGAGGGCGGGGGCGGCGGCGGCGGCGGTGGTGGCATGAAATAGAAGTCTGCATATGGGTAGCAACCATCTGGGCAGGTTGGGTCACAGAATTCTGGACATTGTGTTTGGTTTGTTGCAGTTGAAGGTGGAAAGAGTTTTCTGTGCTTCATGGCCACACACACACACACAGAAAGGTTTGTAAATTTTGCGTTTGGAGAGAAGGAAAGGAAAAGAAAACCAAGGAAATGATCTTGGCAAACTTTTTTTTTCTTGTGTATTTGCTCTGTTTTTCAGTAAAAGGTTTGGTCTGTCAATGTTTAGGTGGAATGGAAGACTTTGATGGGTTTGTTTTTGTAGTATTATTAATTATGTCAAGAAGGTTTACACCTTCGAATAAGTTTAGGCATGAAGATGGATCGATCTTCACGGCCTGACCTCACCATGAGTAGTAAGTAGCTCAAGAGGCGGCCCAATGCTCACAAAGTCAAAGGAGATGGTAATGGGATATGTTATTGGGATTATATCATTTATCCATTAAGAACACACCTTCTTCCTTCTTTCTCGTTATGTATGCTATTTATAAAAGGGCAATTTTTAAGGGTACAAATGTATATTACATGTACTTGAGTAAATTTTCACATATATATATATATATATATATATTATTTTATAAAATTATGTAAATTTTCATAAATATATGTAAGTTAATACATAAATATTTAAAAAATCACAACTTATGTATTTTTGTGACAACTTATACGATTTTGTGAAGTAAACTCATGTATATTTGTAAAAACTTACGCAAGTGCATATAGTATGTACCTTGCACATTCAAATACTATATGTAAAGAATAATGTTATGGCGCATACCAGATATAAATTATGATATTTATAGGTTTGATTATTACAAATATCATATTTTAATTCTATAGGAGGCATAATTAAAAAAATAAATTATAATCAAATACCACATAAAACATATCCAAAGAATTATTCGATCATAATTAAAATAATGTTATAACCAATATAATAATGAGTCACCTACAATAACTCATAACCAAATATGACAAAAGTCAAACTAAGGTGTATTTGGTACTCATGCCATAAAATTTCTCTAATATAAAACTACTGTTATGTAAAAAAAAAACTTATAATTTAAATTAGTAAAATTTTGTAACTTTTTTTTTTTTGCCCTTTTTTGGAAATTACACACACAAGTATAAAATAATAGTTATGTCATACAAAATTGTTTCATTTAAAACAAAAAGGGTAAATTACAAATACATTCCGTAGGATTTGCTTAAAATACAGATTGTCTCCTGTGATTTGAAAAATTACAAATACCTCATTGTTAGTATTTTTTATTTAACATAATTAATTTAAAAAACGAAATTCATAATTGCTACAATAATAAAATTACCTAAATAATTAATTGAAACATATTTTTAATATCATTAAAAACTGTTAATTGACTTGATGATTTATTAATAAAAGGATGATTTTTTATGAAATTAGAAACTTCAGGGAGTAGAATGTAATTTTCAAAATCACAGGGGGTGATTTATATTTAATCAAACCTCAAGGATGTATTTGTTGTTTACCCAAACAAGAAAACAAAAAAAAAAATCTCAGTTGCTTCGATTATAAATTTTGCATAATCAATAATTGAGTTAGGAGATAGGAGAGGATGGGTTCCGATAGAGAGATAAGAAATGTGAATGGCAATGGAGCGGGGCGGGGTCGGGCCAGAGACTACACTCCCCGTCCCCAATCCTCGAAGCTACAAAATTTCTCGTCCACGCCCCTATCTCCTAACGGGGATCGGGTTTCCCCGACCCCAAATAATCTCGTACAAAACAACAACAATCAACAAAGAAGATGAAGAGCAGAAAGGAGAGAGAAGAGAGAACCACAGATCTGTTCAAAAAAATCATAGATCTATTCAAAAAAACCATAGATTTGTCAAAACCCTAACAGAAAAAATTTAGATGTCTTCAATAGATAAAACCCTAACAACAAATTAGATCTGAATCCATATATATATATATATAAATTGATCAAGATTTAAAAAAAAAAAATCATCGATCTGTACCACAACATAGAAGCGAATGAGAATAGCGATCGGTGGTGGTGCTGCGGTGGAAGGAGTGTTGTGTAACTGATGATGGCGATCGGTGGTGTGCGACGACGGTGGTAATGGGATTGGTGGTGTGCGACGACAGTGGTAGCGAGAGAGAGAGAGAGAGAGAGAGAGAGACGCTGAAAGAAAAGAGATTGCTGGCTACGAGTGAAGAAGACCGGCGGTGGAAGAAAGAGCGGCGAGTGAAGATCGGCGGTGGAGTAGAGAGAGAGAGAGAGAGAAATGAAGGATTCAATGAATAAGAGACTGAAAATGAATGGCAAAGGCTGAAAATTAAATTTATAAATAAATAATATATACGGGCCATGTTCAGGAATTATTTGGGGGCGGGGCCAGGGTTGGGGAATCTATCCTCATCCCCGGCCCGAAAATCGTTGGGGATTTAATTTTTAATACCATTCCCTGCTTTACGGGGAGTAATTTTTTGGAAAAACCCGTTTTAATCGAGGTCGGAGGGTCGGGTACTCGTCAGGCCGGATTCAAATTGCCATCCCTAATAAAGAAGGACGGGGGAGTTTTATTTTACTTGTTTTTTTTTTCTTTTGGGTAATAGATGGCTTCATTTGTTTTAACTTTAAATAAAATAGGACAGAAGTGATTTATCACTCTGAAAGTTGTCTCTACACTCACATTTGTAAAAAAAAAATGAAGCAGGGATGGATATGGAAAGTATTTTTTACAATGTATTTACAAGCAGCAAAGGGCATATGAAAATTTAAATATTGTAAAATACCTTGTTTATTGCTGGATACACTTTCTTTGAGCTAGGGTGCTTATGGATATATCATTATTTTTAATTTCGAATGTCGGTGATAATTTTAGTACTTTGAAGCAATCCTACAGTAATATATTCGGTGTTAACTCCAATCATATATTTTATTACATTATTAAAGCTTTTGTTAAGCTGATGCATTAATAGTAGTTTTGCAGTTTAGTTTGTACGATTAACAAGTCCCAAATTTAATTCACACTTAGGATGGTCCATATCTATCAGTGAAATGGACTTTTGATCTACCCTTGTTTTATGGACCACATATTTTACTTTATTTTCTTCGTAAAGGGCTAAGGCAATTAGGGGTAGAGTATGTTAAAGAAAAGAAAGAAATTGTAACCAAAGGTATATCTATCCGTTTATTTATAGGCGGCTGTAGTGTGGGGAGAGAAATTGTCGTCTTTAATAATTTATTTAAATTTGAAGTTTTAATACAGTACACATAATAATTTCAGAGAATAAGATAAATATTAAAGGATGAAATTCATTAGTATTTTATGATATGAAAGTAATCTGTACACGAAAAATTTATCCTCTAATATTCTTAATGAGAAGCAAAATTCAAGTAAATTAAAGTAGATTCAGTTAATTAATTCTACATTTTATTTATTTAATTCGTTCCAACCCTTTGGTATTGATTAATTCCAATTTTTTAAAACTTAAGTAATAAAAATGATAAGTTGCATGCTGGACTGCATGTGGCCACAAACACCATGAATATTGATCGGATGGGTTCACCATCTAAGTCAAAGTCTATTATTATAGAGGAATATTTTTATTTGTGTAGGTGACGAAGAACTTAATAAATAAATAAAATAAAATGAAATAAAAATTAGGTTACTAAGTTTTAACCGTGTGTGCTCTCTATATTAGTAATATAATTGAAATCTTCTAATGCAAGGTTGGTTCGGTAGTTAAGGTATGTGGTTACCATGTGTGCTTTCTCTATAGTTTTAAGTTTAAAATCTTTTAGTATAAATAATTTCTTGAGACTGAGGCTAGTTTACATGGAGTTTTGTCAAGCTTTAATTGGAGTCTCACTAGTAGACAGTGAGATTAATCCTCTGAAATAATTGATTCAATAGATTAGATACCAAGTTATATGAGAAAGTAATTAAAATCTTCTTGTCATGTTAGCTAAGGGTTAAGAGATGTGTTTTAAGCTGAATTATTAGAAAAAATTTATAATGTGTACCTTTTCAAATGATGTATATCATAAAAAAAAATTATAATATAATTTTTTTATGATGAATATTATGATTGTTTGTGATATGGGTTATGATATTTTGTAATAAAATTATAAATAGTGAATTTATAATGTACACCCTAAAGTTAGAGATGATAATATTATATGACATTTTGTGATTTTTATTATGACACTTTAAAATTTTGTTATGATATTTTTTAATAAAAAAAAATTATGACTTTGTAGTAAAAAAGTTATGATGTTTTATGTTTAAATTATAAAAGACATATATGTACTTTTTTTGATGGCGCACATGGTAGCTTATCTCGAATTATAAATGGGGAGAGAGAGAGAGAGAATATGGAGGCCGGCTTGAAGCCCTGAGGTGTAGGCTTGTATTGTATCATTAATTGTGTTTTGGTCTTTTGATTGCCCCTAATTTTACAAGGCTTTAAATTGTCAAAAAGCCTACACTACAAATGGACAAAACAAAAGAAAGAAACAGCCCTGGGGGCAGAGAATAGGCCCAAGGGTAGCCAACGTTTTATACATTCTTGGCATGGGCCTGTGCAAACTATGGCCGGTGAAAGTGACCACACCGTTCGTACTACACGAGCAAATTTAACATGTGCACGACACAAAATTTCTAAAATAATTGGAATCAACTTGAATGGGATGCAAAATTCCTAAAATAAGTAGAATCAACTTGAATGGGATTCACTCATACTTTTCTTTTTTTTCTTTTTTTGAGATAAATCTAATGAAATTATATGGCTATATTTATTAAATTAGTTTATTTTTTAAAAATAAATAATCTAAGATAATGAATCATTAAAATCGATCATACGATGGGTTCACAAAAGTTTAACAATACAATCCAATCTTATATATATATATATAGTACAAATTAATTATATGATTGAATTGTTGAATTCACCCATGTGTGAAAGGGGTGATCATCCAAGTCAAGTTTGGTTGGCAACAATGGGAAGGCAACCAACCAAAGTCCACCTTGGCGGCCACCAACCATCTTGAAGAGTCAAGGATGGAGGCTGCCCAAAGGCTCTCCCACCTACTCCCTCACCTATAAATGGAGGTTGAGAGGAGAGAGCAAACCGTGAGTAAGTAAGTGAGGAAGAAAACCGTGAACCAAAGAGTGCGAGAGATGTGAGGCGGAGAGACCGTCTCCCTCGGTGTGAGCGAGGGAGACGGGTGAGTGGCTGAGTGAGGAGAGTGTGAGCTCCTCCTCTATTGTAATCTTTCTGTAATCTCCTCATTGGTATAGTGATAATCGGTTACTCTCCCGTGGACGTAGGCATTGGGCCGAACCACGTAAAATATTGTGTCTCCATGTGTGTGGGTGTGTTTTTCTGCTTGCAATGATTTCTATAAGGTCTTGGGCGGGATCCCAGATCCCAACATGAATCATATCTTATAATTCAAGTAATTCACATAAAATCAACCAACAAATCATGCAATCATAAATAACGGGATGTCAATCTTGAACACGTTGGATTCCCAAAAATGTGTATTTTTCTTCTTTTTTTTTGGTACATTCGAAAACGATGTGTGTATTTTTCTTGATTGCATGCATCCCAAGCAATTTTTTTTCAAGCTAAAGTCTTACCAAGAAAACAGTTAAGACAAGCATTCTCTAAAATGGGTTAAGTCTTTGCTTTTAAAACAGTAAGAAATTAGCGTTTCAAGAATTTGTATGGAAGTTGTGTATCCCGTTTGATTACCACAAAGCAGCTTCCTGGAATTAATTTAATATTTGTATATTCTTAATTATTATGAGACCTGATTGAGACTCCCCACACACACGTGAGGATTAGTGATTGGAGAAAGAAAAAAATAAAAAAATAAAATAAAATCTGGCCAATCACAGCCCATTGGGTCCTGGGGGTCACCCCCAGTAGGGGTCCGGATCATTTTTCAATTATTATATATTTTTATGTTCTTAACTATCATTTGGGTTTTGACTTTCAAAAAATGGAAGGTTACATTCCGGAGATGATTTTACTGGATTTCTTCTTTCTTTGAAGTCATATTTGATTGATAAGTTATTCTAGTTGGTTTAACTAATCAGGAGAATATTTTATCCTGACATATATAGAAAATAAAAGAGATTGGAATAAGTTATTTTAAATCACAAAATTCTGAATTGGAGTACTCGTCGCTTATCAGCGAATTAAATTTGACTTGATATGAGTTAGTAGCAGATCAAATGGGAATCGTTCATTTGATTACTGCATCACAGAAAAATCGTTATCAAAGGTTTATTATTATTAAGGTGGTTTTTTGATAAAGTGTTCAAACTTGACCATATCTATTATTTAGAGGCATTTGAAATTATTTGTTCAATCCCAATACCTCGATATATTTCTGTATTGCGTACGTAGCGTGTAGATTGTAAGATTAGAATTTGAAAATTTGACTTTCAACATGATAACAATAAATTAATGGCTGGACCAACCAAAAAACGTGTATGGCAAACATTTTAATACCAAAAAGTATAAACTTTCTCTCATGAACGAGTCATTGTACCTACCTCCCTCGTGACATGATGATCTATAAAAACCCTCTAATATTGTCTTTGTCATGAAGAGACCTTCATTGATGCGATGGCTATGTCTACAACAACAACAACATTGATAGTTCCTTACAGCTCGGCCAATCTTCACGTCAAGCCCCCTTGTAATAAACTGCAAACTCTTATCATCTTCAATAATCTCATTCCAGCAAGCTCCAAACACAAGTATGGATCTTGTTTTTTGGTTAATCGAGGCTTGTCACATTTCAGCAATCGCCAAAGATCTCTGACTGACACCAATTCAAAGATGTAAGTACTATATTCTTGGTCACCTCACTATGCATTTTGTGAGTTTGAATTTACATTTTTTTTAAAAAAAAGAAAAAAAAGAAAAAAAAATGGAGTACATTACTTTTGAGGTCTTTGTAATTGTTCAAAATCATGGATTAATGCACGCAGGGACTTGGCTGTCTACTGTGTTCAACCAGGAGCTCCAATTCCCTCTCCTCTGGGTTCATGGTAAAATTAAACTAGACTCATCTATGATTCTATTAACTTGGTGTTTAACTAACAAGTGTCTCAAAATCATTAAAGTTATACATTTCCTTAATTATTCACTTTTATGGAAGAATGTATTTATCCATTTTAATTAAGTGTTAACTAGTGCACTTAGGCGCCCGTCAATGTCCATGGATCATCTGTCCAAAAAAATAACCCGTTAACAATCAAGGATTCTCCATCTAAAAAATTCTTAGTCTTATCTTAATTCACTTATAGTTGTTGAAATTTCGAAATACAAGAATATCAAGAAACAATCAAATAATTGTAAGAATATGTTTGAATCTCAGGTTTGAGTAGGGATTTCTGGAAGAAATAGAAAAGTGAAAGGAAAAGTGATGAATCCCTACTGAAATCATAATCCAAATAGAGCTTAAATGAATTGGGAGCCCTTTGCTCAGTTCTTTTCTTGTTCCCCATCTAACAACATCATAAATGTTTTTACCTGATATTATTTCTAACAGGAAGAGTTGGATTCTGGGCACACTAATATCCATCATGCTACCCTTCTTGAGGCACAAATGGGGGCCATTATTCAACATGACCAGTAAGATGATCAGATCTCAATAATAACCAACTCTTCTCCATTATTTTTATTTGCATTCACGATTATTCTTCTTTGTATATTAAATTTCAATTTGGGCAGAACTTCAATTATTAAAACTTTTAAATATTTATATAGAGCAAGTTGAAGCGGCGGTGGAGACAGCAGAACGTGTAACAGAAGTTATTGAAAAGGTGGCGGAGGAAGTGGAGGAGCTGGCGGAGGAGGTTGCCGATGGGCTCCCGGAAGGGGGGAAGCTTCGAGGAGCCGTTGAGTTCGTTGAAAATGCAGCCAAGGAAACAGCTAAGGTTGCTCATTTAGCTGAGGAATTAATTGACAAGGTTCGTTACCTAACACACGATAGCATGGAGCTGTCTTGTTGGATCATTATTTACTTTTCGTCAAATCTGACTAGTCTCCAGCTAATCCATTATGAAAAAAAGGAAATCTTAATTAGTTTGCTTTAATGACAAGAATATTAGAAAAATTGACCAACTTGCATATGCTGATGTGAGACTTCTGGCAAGATAATAGAATATTAATTGACCAACTCGTTCATATTTGTGACTTTAAGATAATTGACAAGTTTCATAGTTATCTAATCCAACCAAATCCTCTATCTCAATTTCATCTGTCTCACTATGTCAATATTCTTTTAACTATTGAATTATATCTCGATGCGTTTTATATATCTTAATATTTTACTTAATGATTTATAGTGCATTGAAGATAGAGAATATGAATTTAGATACAATTTTCTCACAATTTTATCTTGGATCACATGGCCCAAACATGCATGCATCCCCCAACAAAAATATATATATATATATATATATGTACCTAACAACGAAATGTGAAATGTATGATGTATATTCAAATTTATTGTAGTGTATATCACACATACTCAGAATAAATTTGATCGCACATTTTATTTTTTTGAGTACTTTTTTTTTATATTTCTTTTCTAAATGCGTAGCATTGATACGATCTTTCTTGTTAATTTTCCAAAAATTAAGGGCCTGAGCTTCCACAGAATGGTGTGGTTCAGCACAGTTGGGCAGATTTGGAGTATAAAAGGACCTATAGCTAGCCACCTTTCCTAGTTCTTAAGACATCTATTATACAAGTTTTTACTAGAAGCAAACACATTTTGGATGTGATTTTTAAATAAATGATCGTGTTTATTTGAATGAAAATTGCAGGTTGAAGAAGTAGAGAAAGAGGTGGAGTCATTCATGGAACCAGTCAATGATCAAACCAATGCCGATGGGACTACCGAATAAGCAAATTATCAAAATTGATCAACAATCCCTGTTGAAGCATGGTCTATATATATATATATATATATACCAATTATACTAGTTAGTAGTTTGTTATAGGTATTTAGGATAAGATGTGTTGAAATTATTTATTTGTAACTAAAATTTGATTCTTGTAATTATATGGAATTGGTTGTTAACTCTGTACTTCCCCTTATGGATGGTGATTTGACTCTATAAATCTAATGGAGTTCAACTCATTTACATAATTCTTTCATAAGAACATGTATACTTATTTATGTTCATTGAAAATTAGATAATAACATAAAATATAAAATATAATGATATTCACACTCCACTTTTAATTTTCCAATTATGAGATGCTAAAAATAATTATGAAAACCTTAATGTGAATTAAGAGTGCTTGCGGATCGGGTTGGGTCAGTGGGTGCTCTCCGCCATCCATTCGAACTTAGATGGATTGGAAAATATCAATCCGCACTCACCTACTTAGTTAGCATATGCAAATTGAGCGAGCCGTATAGGTTGGCGAGTGAATGCGAATCGGGTTGATGGTTTGGGCTTTACTATTTTGGGCTTCTTTTCAATATTTCTTTATTACTTTGAGCCCAAATTTTTTTATTATTCATTTTTTATAATAAAAAACGCCGAAGTTTCATATTTTATAAATAGCAAATATAAGTGCTAAAAAATATCAATTTTTTAACACAAAGTATAAAAACATAATTTCATTTTCTGAAAGGTGTTGGCGGATCGTGTTAAGTTAGAAGGCCTCCGTCCGAATTTGAGTAGATTGAGCAAATGCATCTGTATCAATCTGTTCAGACTATTGAAACTGTCCATCCTATAGAGAATTAGTTTAAGCTATCCAATTATGACAGATCAAATGAATACTTATCAAGTCCTAATGTGAATATTTTAAGTAAATAGTTATGAATATTTCCGTATGCAAAATTCATGGGTTGGGATGGTCTCAAACACTCCTTTCAAGCCCAGTCCGTAATAACAATCTTGACTCCCAGCCTTTATTCCGTGGTCCAAGAGCCACCTGAACTTTATGATCCTAACGTGATGTGTACCCATATAGTGGGCCTAGGATGCAATAGGGCAGATATTAATTTTCTATTTCCATTCCTTTATTATTAGTGGAAATCTATGCATAGAATGTGAAAAAAATTAATAAAATATATTTATATAAAATAATATAAATAGTTAGATTTTTGTATGTAAGTTATGAAAACAAAAAAATATTAAAACTTACAATTTAAATTTTACAATTTTGTCATAATTTATGTATCAATTTTTAATTTATCACAATTTTAATCATGTAACTTTTAATCCCCTTGCTAAAGTTGTAAATTTAGGCACGTTGAATCCAAACAACATGAGTCAAGCCTACAAATTTTTAAAGATTGGGCAATATAATTTTAATTTGGTGAGAACTTATGTAAAATTCAAAAATTCAAATAAATTTGAATGGACTTGGGTAGAGACACCAAATAACCTGAGCAATCGAAACAAAATTGTATATATAAATATATAAAATTATTTGCTAATTATTTTTTAAATAATAAATAAGATTAATTAAAAATTAAATATTAATGAATAAAAGCAAATATATCTTTTACAAAGGAATCATCGAATAAGTTGATATTAAAAAAAATTACATTTTATAATAGCATAAAATAATTTAAATATGATTTTTCAAAAATTATTTTTAATTTAAAAATTACAATAAAATATTTAAATATAATAAAATTAAATTTCTTACAAAACAAAAGTATTTGGATAATAAAAAATAAAAAAATAATTAAAAAAAAGGGTAAGAAGAAAATTTAGAAAGGTATTCTCATTTGATCTAAAAATAAAATGACCAATAAATTATCACCTATAACCCTCATTCTTTTTAAATAAAAAAAGATATTTCACAAAATATCACTTTTATTAGAAAAATAACATTTATTTCTATTTGTTTTAGCAAAGGTCACTTTTTAGCAATTTGAGCCAAAATTTTTTTATTTTTTATTTTAGTTTGTTTAATTGACAATTGAGATTAAAAACAAATAACAGGATCTAGCATATTTCGCAAGTACTAAAAAAGTCTAGATGAACAATAAAAAAAAAATGTTTGAGACTCACCAAAAAAAAAAAATCATAATTGTATTCACAATTATGTGATATTATATATGTCAACTCTTAATTTCTTATACACTCAATGACACAGGACATAACTCCCTTGGCACATCATTGTGGGTAAACGTATGTTTATTTCTATTTGATTTTAGCAAAAGTTACTTCCTAACTATTTAAACCAAAAAAATATATATATTTTTTAATTTTTTTAATTGATAATTGAGATTAAAAAAAATTAATAGAATCGATTATGTTTGGCAATGGTTAAAAGAGTCATTCATTTTCTTAATATTTTTGTCTTTTGTTAAAAAAAATATTTGTATTAAAAAAATTTATTGTTTAAGTCCTTATAGTTTAGAAGGATATAAAATGAAAATTATAAAATTTAAAACCAAAAAGACAAAAAAAATAAAAATATAAACTTTTAATAGTGATTAATAATTTGAATACGTGTATTTAATAACATATTATGTTTAAATCAATAATATTATGACACATCATTATAACACATGTGAATATTAATCTCATTCTAATTGTAGTAACATAATTTTTTTTAAAAAAATTAAATTTAAAATTTTATTTTATAATTTAATAAAATATGCATAAATTAATGAATGAATATTGATCTTATTCTGGTAACAAAATTTAAGGAAGAATCTAAATTTAAAATTTTATCTTAAAAATATAAAATTAATTTATAGACCAATCATATTGTGACATATATAACAAAAATTAAACAAAATAAAAAAAATAAAAAGAATTGCAACTTTCGGCTTTAATAAGATAATAATGTTTTGCAATTATAATAGTATATAGATTTTGGATGAGATTTTAAAACTCTCATTATATATCTTTTTAAAAGTACTCTTTTGTAAAATATATAAATAATCTCAACGTCACTCTTATTGCTCTTTAATATAAAAGTCATGAGCTAATTATGATAATTTTAAATTTGTATTTATAACTTATAAATCTTGGGTAGATCATTATAATTTTAAATTTATATTGTACCAATTTTAAATTTAAATTAATCGATTACTTTCCATAGTTAGTGACCCTCAAATTTGAATTTTGAAATGAATTAGTATACCTTTCAATTTTTTTTTTTAAGATTTGATATACTTTGTATTTGAAAGTCATAAATTATGGGATATTAATTTTTATTTTTATTTTTCTTTTTTGCTTGAATAAGAGTTAGCCAATAGATTTTTAAAAAAAAATTTAAAAATAAAAAAATATGAAATTTAGATTGGGAACTTGGAATTCTTAGAGGCCTTACAGGTTAGAAACTCCCTTTTACTTATATAATATATAGATAATTTTTGGGCAAATTATTGCAAATCCTATTTAAAAGATGATAAGTTTATTTAGTCTCCCAACCTTTTGAATACTCTTAAAAGTCTATTATGTATTTTTCTTCTTCATTCTTCTTTGTATTCGTTTTTCTCTGCCTCTTTCTCTTCCTGATTTTTGGTAACTAGCGTCCATGCCTTACTTCTTCTCTTTCTCTTTCTAATATATAGTCACCGGTGACTAACGACCATCATTGCTTGGGGTTTACCGACAACCACCGACCATCGACTTCTTACTTCACCCTCAATGACAACAAAAGAGACGACTTTCCAGCAAAGAAGATTACTAGATCTATTCAGATCTGATGTAGATCTACTCAGATCTACATCAGATCTGAGTAAATCTACATGAGATTTGACTAGATCTAAACCAAAATAGTTGTCGGAGTACAATATTCTCTCTATATCTGCTTCTCTCCTTCGATTTCTAAATTTTTCTACATTTTCTCTGCCAAACTTTTATTTTTCTATTTTAATGGAGAAAATTTTCAAGTTCTGAACAAGTTATTTTTAAGTTTTAGTTACAGGTAATGAAAACTGTAAAATTTTACAATTTTAGTTTTTTTGGTACTGAAATGAAGCATGCTTTAAAACTATAAAATTTTACTGTTTCATAACATTCTTTAGAACTGTAAAATTTTGCAGTTTCATAACATGTTTTCTAGTTTGATTAATAAGGATAAATACTTAATAAAATCATAATTTGAAGCTGTAACATTTTACAGTTTCAAAACTTACTTTTCAATTTGATCAATATTGGAGATTATTTGCTTAAACCCTACAAAATTTGAAAAATAATATATATTTTTTCCCATTATTATATATTGCTGTTATGTTTTTTTTTCCCTTTCAGTTTATTAATATTTATCACATTTTGTTATGTTTTTTCACTATAATTTCTTCATTTTTTCTACATTTTTTTTCTAGCAATATTCTGGACATTCCGATGAATTTCCGATGATGTTCTTGACGTTCAATGAACATTTTGGACATTTCAGCGACTTTCAGTAATGTTCAGAACATTCTGACGACTTCCCGATGATGTTGAAGATGTTGAATATTCCGGCAAATTTCCGGTGACCGTTTAACGAAAATCCAGCGGTGGTGGAATGTAGCAGCATTTTTAAAGTTATAAAAAGAACATAAAAAAGAGATTTTTTGGCAACAATTAAAAATATGTAGAACTAATTAGTGCAAGTGTTTTGTTTTGGGACTAGATGGATTTTGAACTTTGTGTATGGGACTTACTGGTACGTGCCTCATAATTTTTTCCCATTCTCCATCCCCCATGGAGACTATCCTCACCATTTCCTAATGAGTTTGGATTTTTTCCAACCTAACTTGACTCTTTTTTGTTTCAAGGTTCACAGCCAAAGCCAAATACGTATTCACTTGTATTTATTTATTTATTTATTGGTTTAACAATAAAATCAAATATATATTAATTAGTTAATTAAAAAAATTATTTTAAAGTAATCAAATTTATAAACTTCACACAATCAAACAAGGTTTAGTAACCAAAAGCAAAAATACAAAAAAAAAAATAAAAACAAAAACAAAAACAAGACAAAAACAAAAACAAAAAATGGTTAATATGGACCACCAAAAACTGCCGATCAAGAAACTTGTATCCAATTATGTCAAGTTTTGTCCCATACAGTAACATCAATCAAATCAAAATATTCAAAACAAAAAAAAATGGGATTTAACAAGACATGTAAATTTAGGGAGAATTTTTTTTAAGGTCCCTAATAATAGTAATTTAGAGGAT